TGGTTAGTGTTTTCAATGTTGAACTGATAGTAATGCAAGCGTGCATAGCTAGTAGCGCAGCCATTACGTTGCGCATTTGAATGAACACGCCCTTTGGGATTGGCGATGTTTCGTAGATTCATCACACATTCACTCAGTTTTCGTAGACTTACATTGAGTTCGATAATTCAATGAGTGCAAAGGGAATTTTGTGTGATCTGAACGTTTTTTGTTACTGAGCAACTAGAGGTGCGGGAGGGATTGAATCGGTCGAGTTTGAAGGGTTGCAATCTTGCATTATCTTATCTTATCTTTCGTTGTTATTCTCAATGTGGATTTGAATGAATACCGCGTAGAATAATTATGCGGTGAATTACGTAAATTCACGTAAAATTACGTGAATCATGTGTTGTTTTGTATTTGTTTTGGTTGATACTGCAGCAATGGATTTGAATCTGTGAGTGTGGTAAATTCGATATGAAATGTAGAATGAACGAGTCGATCGTGTGGATGAAAAGCTATGGTAGGAAATAATAAATCGAATGAAATAATTTATTTCAGATGGATTTTCAAAATCGAGCTGGAGGCAAGACTGGTGGTGGTGGGGTAGCGTCGTGGTCGGATGCAAATGTGGATCGTAGAGAACGGTTGAGACAGTTAGCTCTCGAAACAATCGATCTGCAGAAGGATCCATATTTTATGAAGAATCATTTGGGTGGTTATGAATGTAAACTGTGTTTGACGCTCCATAACAATGAAGGTATTCTTTCATTTAAACTTTTCAGTTTATTGTTTTCTGTATCCATCTTCAAATGGTTGAAGACATCAGCCTTATGAATCTACAAATGTGATTGTCATCAGTATCGTTAATTAATCAGTTAATTAAGGATCCTATTTGGCTCATACACAAGGAAAGAAACATCAGTCGAATCTAGCGAGACGTGCTGCGAAAGAAATGACTGACCAACCATATCTACCTCTACCTCAACAACCTAAAGTCGAGTTGAAAAAATTTGTCAAAATCGGCAGACCCGGTTACAAGGTATCGATATTTCAAACAGATCTTATTTTTGATCTTGATAAACAGTTGTATTCAATGATGAAAACTTCAGGACGAAGGTAGTCAGTATGGTGGTTGCAGGTTACAAAGGAACGAGATGCAGCGACAGGTCAACAAGCATTATTGTTCCAAATAGATTATCCAGAGATAGCAGAAGGAGTGACACCAAGACATCGATTCATGTCAGCTTACGAACAGAAGATACAACCGCCAGATAAACGGTGGCAATATCTGCTGTTCGCTGCAGAGCCGTACGAAACAATCGCGTTCAAAATACCGTCAAGGGAAGTGGATAGGAATGTGGACGGTGATGATAAGTTTTGGGTGTTGTGGAATAAGGAGACGAAGCAGTTGTTTATGCAGTTCGCGTTTCGTTTGGACAGAGGTACAACAGGTAACGACCGAGGCCCGAATGGTGAGCAATCGATGGGCAACCGTTCTGGCAGAGATCACCATTCTCTCATCTCGGACACACCACCGCCACCTCCACCCCCACCTCCCTCATCACAACTCAGATCTAATGCTCATGCGCCTGTACCTGTTCCACCTCCCATGTTCTTACCACCGCCTTTCTAAACATTCCTTTTTTGTTTGTTCAAAACATTGATGTTCCCATGAATTCTCGCTGTGAACGTTCTCATTCAAACACTCGCATTAATAAAAAAACTTGACTAATTACAGTGAGAACGCATTTGATTACAAAAACGAAACAAATCAACCATAGTCAACGAAAAGTCAGGCATGACTTCTACCGATAGTAACGTCAAATGAATGTCGCCCAGTTTGTATAAAACTTTTTGAATTGTAACTCTAATAATGAACATGAACCTCTTGTGCACTTATACCCATATTCGTATCCAACAAAACATCAAGCTGTACTGATTACGCAAGTATTGAAAGATTAAGATAGCTTTATTCGATCATTCACATGTGTCACATTACAATTACAAGTAAGATCATAAATTACAAACGAATGCATTACTCATCACAATGATCAATCACTAACATCCTGTAGTTTACGAAGACGAGTACAAGTATGCATATCGGGTGCACGATGTCTGGCACACAACGTTTTACCACATCTAAACATTTATGATAAGAGTGACCGATGCAACTGAATCATTTTACAGCAGTTATGAAAGGAAACGGTGAAAGTAAAGAGGCGACGAAATAATGGTAAATGAAACTGACCGACACTGGAAAGCAATTGATGAGAGGGTTGTGTTTAGTTTAACGGCACATGCATTGCACCGTTGCTGTTGACTAGTAGTGTTACCGGTGCTGTTGTTAACCGAGCGAGACAGCCACCAAGAACGACGTAATGCAGAAGGATTGCTCGACAGTAATATTGACGAGGACGGCATCATGTTTGCGTTAAGATTACACGAAGTCTCTGAGGATTTGCGTCTGATGGATGACGGTTTTTGTCGTTGTCTTTCATCATCACTTGACGTAGTTATATCACTGTTCTGAATCAATTCAGTTGTTTTTATCAAACTCATATTGAATATGACAGCATTAAAATTGGATGTGTAACGTGGATAATTGACAAATTGAAGTAATTTACCTTATTGTTTGCAAATGAACATAGCGTGGATGTGTTCCTGGGTTTACTTCGAGCTCGATTTGTCTTCTGAAAGGCACTCGATGTTGTCGCGTTGTTGCTCGTAGTGTGATGCTTTCGGCGAACGCGTAACCTTAGTTCATTCATTCAATTAAATGTATTCATTGAAGAATGAAAATAAGCAATAAAAACAAACAAATACCTTCTGAAGTCATAACTTAAGTCACAAATGATCATTCCGGAAGAGACCTCTTCGCTGCAGCCGTCATCGGAATGTGTAGCATCATGAAGATGACAATCATGAAAAGGTGATCGTTTTGAATCGTCGTCATCTGGATTATGCGTCGGTAAGAGCAATCGTTTTTGTGGTGCTATTGAAGAGGGCATCGATTTGTGTGTCGTTTTCGATGAATTGACAGCTTTTGTGTTGCAAATGCTCCCATTTGTATTGCTGTTGCTATTGTCATATCCTTCAACATTACAGTCTTGTAATCAATTGGTGCACTGCACAATTGCTCATGAAGATTTCGATTCCGTATCTACACAAACTGAGGCATTTCTTCCTCTCTTCATTTCTTCCACGATGAGGGTGTAAAACGCCGAAACGTTGGAAGGATGTACATATTCCGAAATGCGCANCACAATCAGAAATTTCCTTCACCATGCACATAATAAAAGAGGAAACTATTTAAAAATTCATAATCTTTAATATTCTCACTCGTTTCGTTTCATTCTGATTATCATTATCAATTTGTTTGCAACTAAAGTACAATTCAACAGAGTCTATTCTATCCAACTCTCATATCTATCATTGAAAAGTGGCTCATAGACGAAGTAAAATTAATAAATTTAATCAGTCAAAAAGCATCTTAAAAAAAAAACAATACCTTTCGATGCAATTTGACGACTCTTTTTGTTGAGAACGATTTTTGAGTTTGAAGTGGATGGTTGATTGCTGCTGCTATTGTTAAAATAGATGTTGGATGATAAAAGTTGATTATGCGATGTGCCCTGAGCACTGCTCATCTGATTGGCATTGTGATGGTCAAGACTGTCGTTACTTTCGTCATCATCATAGTCATATTCGTCACTGTCATCGTCTCCGATTGAACTCTCTTTTGCACTCGTGTCCTCTGGTGCTGATACACACACCCGCGATGATGGTTCGGATGTGCGTGGCACCACTTCTTTCTCCTTGAATTTTGCTTACTGTTCCAATCAATGAACACTGCTTAATAGAGCAAATAAGACAAATAGGATAATCAGAATGAATTACATTTTTAAAACGACGCATCTGTCGACGTAATTCACACATCTTAAACAGTGTTCGTCGATTCTCGTCCAGAAACTTCTCATCAAAGACACGACCCACTTTTTCTTCTTTACATTGTTTCGCTTCACTTGACATCATTTCATCATTACAACTAAATTTTATTCATCACTGCTATCAATGGAACGATTAAAATGAAGCATGTCAAAGGGATAACGAACGAACCGATTGATTGAAACAAGCTTATTATAACCACTGTCGTTCTGTTCCTGTACGGATAACGGGCCAGATCTAGTGAGTATCACGAGTCGAATAGTTGAATTACTTGTTATTCCATATAAACTTATCAATGCTTCGTCATCGGATAACAGTTCTCCACTGAATATCAGTCCTTGATGATAAGGCAATAGGCCACTTCGTTGCCAGATCTTTTGCTGAAAAGAACAGTCTTGAATCGTAACGTCTAATCCAAGTGATGCTTTACGGAGTGATGAATAAAAGTCTATTTGGCAAGCGAATACCTTAAGAGAATTCACAGTTTCAGTTGCAGAAATGCTTTCAATCCATTCCTGACCAGTTACAGCTGAAATTCGAACGGCCATACTGTCATTATTATTACTGGTGCTATG